AACGGTTGGACTTGATGGTCTTAAAGTTCTTTTCCAACCTAAATGATTCTATGATTCTATGATTTACTATTCACATAAAATTATTTCCTCTGGTAAAGTTTCAACACAATAGGAGGATGAAGAAGACAAGAAAGGGAACACGTTTATGCACATTATTCACTTCCACCTTACTTTGGCACCACCGCACAAAAAATCTGAAACATAGAAATGAACTTGTGACATCTGAGATCTGGGGGCTACCCAAGATTTTGTATAGAACTGTTTACAATGAGCATTGTCACAGAGTGCTTGAAGAACTACAGCTCTGAAATCTTTCGGCTATGCAGGAGATATGCAGGTTACATGCACTAAATGTGGTCTCTCACGTATCTTAAGCTAAGCAAGCACTCAGGATAAGCCCCATTCATTGGATAGCAAAAGTGCTTGAACTAATCACCAAAGAAAATGTGTGAAATGTTTTCAAATGGATGAGGGAGAGAGAGCAGACAGTGATTCATCAGTATTTAGCAAACAGATGTCAGTGTGACTCTCCAATAAAAATCAAGTGACTTCAGGATCTTTTTTTTAAACATAATGTTTTATCCAGACCCTCCGATTTAGTGTACCGTATCATTATCCTGCTGTCTTGGAGGGTTTATCAGAGGGTGAGACATGTTAAGGCTTTGGTAGTGAAAAGGTGGTGAGACTTTGTATTTGCGCTCAGAAAAAAAAAAAGTGTGCAAAAAAGGTTGTACATGTGTTTTCTGCATATATCAAGAGTTTGCACCCATGTGTGCTTCAGTTGCAGCATCAAACGTTCATATTGACAATGAACAGATTGTGCTTGTCTATGCCTGTTATCACCTCAAAGCTTCTAGGAACTAGCATAATAGCTCTTCAGAAACAGGCAAAAAAAAGTAGAAGAAAAAAAAAGAATGCCATGGACACCAGTTTGTTATGTTAATAATAAGCAACTATGGGGAAAATGCCAAATGTACAAGAGTTTTTTTTGTAAACTGCACATTGATTATGTTAGATGCAAGGAAAGAGAAGCAGAAGAAGCAGGAAATAAAAGGAAGGAAGGGGATGACAGAAAAGGAAGATATATAAGATCAATCTAAAAAGTGAGAAAGAAAGAAAGATGAATGAAGAAATAGGAGAGGAGAGGGATGGTAATAAGGAAGTGAGAGAAAAGACAAATGTTGTTACTAGCTACTGCAATCTGGCCAAGCTACAACTAGTCATCATTTCAAATATCTACAATAGCTACTGTTGAATCCTGAACTACTTTGCATTTGCTATTGCTCCAGCCAAGCCACAGCTGAAAGAAAACCAAAATGTATAGATGGATACATGTGGCAGAGAGAGGCTTCCTAAACAAGAAGGCTAGTACTAACCTATCACTGAGGAGAAATACAACACAATGTTGTATTTTATATACATATAAAATATAGAGTATAAAATATAAATTAAAGTATGAATTATAAAGTGTAGAGGATAAAGTATAAAATATAAAGCAAGCACACATGAGTTTATAGTGTATAAAAAACTCAATTTATAGACAGAAATCTAAGTTTTGGTGTCTACATACAGATATCTCCATGTGGACTAGGTTACAGTTAATGGGGCTTGATTTAGTCGGCTAAACACGAACGTGTCATACCATTTGAGAAACTGTAGAGTAGATGAGACATCGCACAAGGTTAACAGATATGACACAAGACCTAACAACTTGTGTCCTACTGGACCAGCATCTGAAGCTCACACAAGGTATCTGAGGGCATCCTAGAGCTATTCATTTCACTGAACATAAACAACTTACTTTTGGTCATTACACAGATCTCTTGATGCCACTGCACTGACTAGCTCTTCACTGGCTGTAATGGGTGCTCTGATACCTGGCTCACATGGAGGCAGCTACATGGAGACACTTAAATTTAGGCATCTTAATCTACGATATCACAGAATCATGCCCAGAGAACTTGATTCAATGCCTCAGTGTAGGTTTCTAGTGATACCTGAGGTGCCCTAAGGACACTCAGGCTAGCAGCTAGGGGGGCACGGGGACCCATAGAGCCTGTGTTATACCTAACAGCTCTGCGTGGGTTCCTTGAATACTTTAGGCGTCTCAAATGGCACTAGATTCCTGTGCAAAATGTCATATCTATCTGGATTATTTAAACTGTCACCAATACTACAGTGGTATGCCAGCTCACAGTCTTCTATTTACCTCACAGTCGCCCTGTGACTTAATGAAGATCTATTACTTCTATTGTTTTTCAGATGGGGATTGAAAGCTTGGAAAAGTAAGACTCACATCTTACCTAATTCCCTCTGTCTTCTGTTTCCTTTTAGTCAGATACTTCTGAAGGAACGGAACCGACAAACAAAGTCTGGACACAAGGAGTATGGGCGACTTTGGGTTATCTGAATCCCAGGCATCACAGAGCAGAGTGAATCTCACAACAACCAACCTGGCACATTCTGCCTGGATCATCATTCTCTTCTATATATTCTTTTTTCCATACAAAGCACTATACAGAACTACACTGAAGTAAGAAAGTGAAGAACTACTGAGGAGCAGAAGTGGAGCAGTCTGAAGACTGTGAAGAATCATAATTTGTTGATTATCACTATTTTGCCCATAGGTTATTTGCACAAAATGGAACTCTTCTTAGATCTGAACTGAAATCAAGTTCATTTATTCCAGAGCATTATTTGTACATGCATTACTGATACGGATAATGCACACACCCAGAGCAAGTACCCTCTGCTCAGGTGTTCCTGTCCTCGGTGCACATCCCCTGGCTGTGCTCTGACTGCACACAAGCCTCAGAGCTGGGTGGGGTGCACACTCTGCCCCCAAATGCTTTGCTTTCCTTTGGAGGAAAATCAAAGCACAGAGGTAAGCAGGTTGCTCTAACATATACCATGACCCATGGACACAGCTACGGTAGACAGCTTTTGACAGATGTTCGCTGCAAAAAGCTGTTTGCCAAATGTTTAAAATACCTATATGTATCTATGGTATACATAAATAACAACATACAGTATTGACCCTTCTGAGATGGCTTTATTTTGCAGAGATGCAAGAAGAGAAAATGAAGTCTGGAAAGCTTTTTTTTGGGCATCAACAAATTGAGCTGCTCATGTGTTCATACAGAAAAAAGGTATCACATTGCCCTAAATGATAGCAATCTGCTTGTTGGTTGGATAAAAGGATGCAGTTTTGTTAATCTAGAAGGTCCAAGTTACTTCAATTGTTAGAATTTTTTCAACTACTAATTAATTAAGTGCAGCGTCAAGGTGTTCTGCTACCAAGTATTTTAAAAGCTGTTTGTAAATAGGGAAGAGAGGTATAAGAGTAAGCTATGATAAAATTGTGAGATTAAAGATAATGTTAATCTAGAAATTACATTGGTTACATAATCAGTAAAAAATAATATCATATTATTTTAAGACTGGCTAAGAAAGGAAAATGCGAAGTAAATACAACATGATATTAAAGCTTCTTTGAAGCTTTCCTAAGATGAAATCTTTAACATGGACTGGCAATCTTTTTCTACCTTGTCAAGGTGATTATGAATATGAAAGGGGTAAGGAAATGCTAACAAGGCATTACTCTGTGAGAATACTTTGAATATAGCATAACAACTTTGTAGCATATCAAAACCATATCTGCTTTGCTTCTTAATTTATTATGAAACAAATCTGTGACTTTCTGCTATAGTTTTAATGTCAAACATAGTCAAAAAAAAGTGGACAAACTGGGTTTTTTCTCATCTCAGTCTAATCTTAGGGTCTACAATAACCATCACTTTATTAAAATCTAATATCGTTTAAACTCCATGCCACACTTTCCACCCATCATCGAAGTAGTTTTAAGGGTACAGTATGACAGCTGTTTACCAGTGCACTGGTAAACAGCAACTTCAGAAAGTGAGGGCAGGTAATTTTGTGCAATTCAGTCAAAAAAAGGAAGTTTCCAGTGCACTAATAGCTATAATAGAAGTTTCCACATTGTAACAAAGTACTAAGGGATTTTAAATGTGCTAAAATACTTCTAATTAAAGTTTCAGATAAATTGCAGCCACCCTGCCCATGTCCAAATACCTTCCCAGGTAGTACTGATTCAATCTAGACTCAGCAATGGGAAGAACAGGCACAACAACATGCTGTGGAAGAAGCAATGGGCAAGGACTTGTCAACTGAAGGCTGAGCAGTGTAGGCTGATTCATTCACGTGGTACAACATGATGAAAAGAGACAGACTATCTTAGCTCTGAAAATAGTTCAGCTCTCTGGTGTGGCATGACATCCAAGCTAAACATCTCTGCTCTTTAGCACTGCCGCAGCTATGTTACTTCTGGATTCAGAGCTAGAATGGTCTAGTCTGAGGGTCCCTACCTTGTTGGTCATTGTATCATGCAGACACACTTCCTACATCAGCTGAATAACCAGCATCAATTTCTGGCAACATTTGTAGCTCCCATGCTGTCTCCAAGGCAGCAACCAGAAACAATCTGGCTTGTTTGGATGTTGTGGTTTAACCTCAGTCGGCAACTAAGCACCACGCAGCCGCTCGCTCACTCCCCCCCACCCGGTGGGATGGGGAGAGAATTGGAAGAGCACAAGTGAGAAAAACTCATGGGTTGAGATAAAAACAGTTTAATAATTGAAATAAAATGATAATAATAATATGATAATAATAATAATAATACACAAAGCAAGTGATGCACAGTGCAATTGCTCACCACTCGCCGACCGATGCCCAGCCAGTCCCCGAGCAGCGGCCCCCCCCGGCCAGCTTTCCCCAGTTTATGTACTGAGCATGACGTCCCATGGTATGGAATGTCCCTTTGGCCAGTTTGGCTGTGCCCCCTCCCAGCTTCTTGTGCACCTCCAGCCTTCTCAGTCGGTAGAGCATGGGAAACTAAAAAGTCCTTGGCTAGTGTAAGCACTACCTAGCAACAACTAAAACATCGGTGTGTTATCAACTTTGTTCTCCTCCTAAATCCAAAACACAGCACTGTACCACCTACTGGGAAGGAAATTAACTGTATCCCTGCCAAAACCAGGACATTGGATTGCAGAGACTTGGAACAGCTTAAGATGGTCTGACCGTAAATCCACATGGAAAAGAACACTTTAAGCAGGGAAGATCAATTTGGATCAATACACATTATCATGGAGCAATTTTCACTTCCTGTCATGTTGGTTAAATTCTATTTTTTCAGGATGGAAAAGAGCACTGAAGTCTTGCGCATCTTTAACTTTCATGGTTACTTCTTTAGAACTTTTCAACAGACCTGATCTCAAAACACATGGAAGTCAGCAAACTGTTGCTGTTTCCCCAAAAGGCTTTTGACCAGCACCATATTTACTCAGGAGAATTCATATCACCAAACTACTGTACTCCTCTCCTAAGCAGCAAAGGATTGCAGAAAGATCCACTACATAAACACCCAACCCTGCTGAAGCAAATATGCAAGGACTGATGGGCTCAGTTAAATTATCATGTACTTCCAAAGAATCTTCACTCTAAATCTGGCTCTGACATTTACTTAATGTGTTACCTGTCATTTCCCCATTTCTAAAGGAGGAATAGTACTTACTCAAGGCTCTCACACGGAAAATTAATGTTTTCAGGGCACTTTAAAAATTAAAATAGCTATATGTGTTTGCCAAGCTACCCAGCTGGATTGTGGGCACGCTGACTGAGAGCATTTTTGTTGCTGTGGACTGTGCATATATTCTCAGTTTCAGTTTTGTTTCATTGGTTGCTTAATAAAATGTGTGGCCATAGATTACCAATGTAATCTATGAGATACATATATTTGCATAGGAAAAATATGTTGCTTTTATTTCAAGCTCAGAGAGGTGGCTGCTTACAGGAAAGAGCAGATTCTAGGAATATAAACACTGGCTGGTTTTTTTTTCTTTTTCTCTTTTTATCCTAAGCCTAGCAGAGAGAGAAGCCAGTTTGCAAGCTGATCGGCTGAAGCCTAAAGGGGCTCATTCAGTACAGCTGAGTGTCTGATAAAGAGATGATCTAGCTCTGATTATAGACTGCTGGTATTACTGTTGGATGGACATGATACCAACTTGTCTAAACACAAGCCAAACTTCTTTCTGTTGAATGGCTACAGATGCCACTCTTGTACAGAACGTATACTCCAGCATTGAGAAGCACTCTGGCTATTGAATTTCATGAGACAGCACAGCTGCAGAGGCAGTGCTATGTGACAGGTGTGCATTTTTGTAACATATATGCAACTTATAAGGAGATAAACAGTGTCTGATATAACAGGACATGCACCTAGCCTGTAGTTGTAGCTACAGTTTTCTAGTACACATATAAGCTACTCTGTGTTCTGTTTGCCTGTCATCTGTAGCTTTCAAACCACTGTGCAAAGGACATTGAGCAAAGTATCAAGAACTTAAAATGCAATCATCCAAATTAAAGTGTACATACATGGTACTACAGCCCGTGAGCGATTCTTCTGGATATTTTCCTCCTGCTGTGCAATGGTGGTGGCATTGGGTTCAGCCTGATAAGCACACAGAGCTTCCCACTCTTTCTCCAGACGATTCTTGTTTTTCAGATGATCTTCCATGTAGGACTGGAATTAAAAGAATATTGTATTAAGCATTGACTTAGCTAGGCTCCAAGCTAAGCTAAAAGATGTACCTCAGGATGGAAAGCACAGGAATCCTGAGCTTTGGAGACAAAACACACTCAGTCTTATGGCTAACACTTAAGAGAGTTAACTTCAAGGTTATTTGTGCTATACAAAATGAGAATGCTAACATGGACCAGTGCTAACAGAGAAGAAATGCTTGAAAACCCCACCTACTGAGCTTCAGGAGAAAACTATTTCTTCTTCAGTAGCTAGAAAATGTAAGCCCAAATGTCTCTTTCATCAGGCAATGAAAAAGAAACAAAAGTCCATTGATAAAAATTACTTACTACAACAACAGCTCACGTCAAACTGAAGGCTTTTAAAACATAAAAATATGTTCAAGCACATATGCAAGTCACAACAATGATAGAACTGTTGAGGAGAATTAAAAAATTGCCAGGCTGAAGTGTCATGGCTCAAGTACCGGGTCATTAGGAACTCATCCTGCACATGGACTTGCACAGACAGGGCCTCAAACTGAGAAGGTGCTGTTAATTAATATTAATATATGTTGTTAAAGGTTGTACCTGGCATTCAGTAAAGTCAACAGTGTTAGGAGAAGCATCACCAAAGAAAAATTAACTGGCTGTGGCAGGACTGATCAGAGTATATTGGAGCAGGTCCTGTGTTTTTGCAGCTCTCCCAAGGCTAGAGATTCAGTACAGCAGTGGATCGGGAATTCAGTTCCAAAGGTTTGCCAAAAGTGAACTAAAACCCTATTCCTTCACCCTACGGACCTGAAAATCATCCAAGTAGGTGACAGGAAGAGAGCAGAAAGGAGGAAGGGTGGGGAAAACCAGAAATCTTCCCCTCCCTTTGACACGAAAATTAAGAAAGTGATCACCTGGTACTGTAAGCCTACTTATACAGCCAAACTACCTTTCAGAGCCTGTCAGCTTCTCCTACGGTAAGCAACAGAATAATCTCACATTACACCCAGTTCGTATTTGTAAATTAAACTCCATACTACCCTTAAAGGTAGGTTGAAGTTAACATCCTTAAACAGATTAAAAAAGGGACAGACTGTTTAGGGGACAGGCTCAGGGTCTGGACGGGGGTCGGGAGCAGAGCTGTAGGCGCCTCTGGCCCAAACATCAGTCAAAGTGGTTCCTGCTGGGGAGCACTCACTAACAGAGCCCAATCTGTAGCAACCCTTGTCTAGAAAAAGCTCCTGGAAAGGATTCACTGAAAAGTGCAAAAAGCAGTTTAATTGCTTAGAAAACCTTTCCCATAGACAATCTCTGTTATGTTGAATAGTTCTTCCCAAACATGCTTTAAAGAAGAAAGGCTCACATGCCCTCTCAGCAGTTTAACAGAAGGTGCAAAAAGCTTGCGGCTTGCCTTCCACCAAATGGGAGCTCTGCTAAAGCTGTCGCTCCACCGCGCTGCCCACCCCACCAGCGAGGCAGGAGACTGCTCTCTCTTGCAGCTTGAACGTTTTTTCGGTTACAAAAGAGCCCCTGACACCAGTTTTGGTTTGTGCAGGGTTTGTCGGGTACGAGATCTGTAAATCAAACCTGCTACTGAAAAGCAATTTGAGAAGCAACGCTTCCAGAAAGGATATCTTTAAGGACATAGAAATATATCGCGTTAGAAGAAGGGTTTCTAAAGGAGGTAAAAAATACTGGTGGCCTAGATACAATCAAAACACCTATTGTGTGATTGCTTCTTTTCTATAATGAAGGAAAAAGCATCGCAGTGGACAGAGCTGTGACCTGACGGATGGGGAGCTGGGAGAGCTGCATGGCCCTGTCGTGTGCTAGGGAGTGCGTCAGCTAACATGTTCCCAGCCTTAACCTGCAAGTTAATGAGAGGAAACCATCCTCTGATAGTTTGCTTGTCCTTGCCGAAAGGCTGTTGCTACTGGAGAAAGGAGGGAGGCTAGAGATCCCATTCTTTTCTCCTAGTAAATCTGTGCCTGGACATCTATACTGAACATAATAAAAAAAAAAGATAATCCCTCCTGAGCAGCGAATAGTTGGTACGTAAGAATTTTTATGAGGCAAAGGGAAAAACTAGCAAAATCTTACAATAACACTGAGCCAAGACTCCTGGCTTCAGAGAAGCTGTTTAGCATGCAGCAGGCAGAGATCAGGCAGTGAAGGGCCAGCCCATAGCATCTTCCCATTTTAAACCACAGTTTTATAATCTGATTCATTTTGACATGCCCGTCACCAACGTCCCATAGACTTCAGGGACATTTTATGCAGATATACAGATCTGCCAACACTGAATCTCTCCAAAATACTGTGACTCCACGAAGCTGGAGGAAAAGGGCCATGAACATTTGATTCCTAAGGCAGCGCTGTATGTAGCAAGGAGCTTCCCGTCGCCTCCAACTTGTCTATTTGATGATTTCAAGGATTGTATTTTAAAAAGAGATTTTGTTTTCTTTTTAAATCATCAAATGTGATCCAGTTAAGGTAATTTGATTGCTTTTACTGCACATGAATTTTTAAGTAACTTATCTCTCTTTAAAAAGGAATCCTCTTTTTACTTTTACCTTCCTTTTTCAGAGAAACCTGAGTGTAAAGAGAAATGAATGTCCAAATGAAAACACACTGAAATCTTTACTTTAACCAGACAACCACTTTTCGTGTAGTCTCAATGCCTGCAACGCATGGATCAGATTCACAGGGCACTTCCTGACAAATCTTGAAAAGGTGTTTGACTATTTGAACGGCCCCGTGGAAGGCTCTGTGCAATATGAACATCTGCTTTACACACGTCTAAAAAAGCTACCAAGAAAGAAGCTTGCTTTAAAATATTCAGAAGTCAGACAATTCCCTCAGAGTTAAGTAATCTTTCATTTACAATCCTTCAGAGCCCCTGTGCTCATCCCCATTTTGCTAAGCAGAAGCTTAGTGATTTTGAAACACTCTCTTGGGAGCTGCTGGATGTACATTAAATTGAGTGGAACTTCTGATATTTTAGAGATTGTATGTCTACTCAAATCCACCTCTTAATTAGGATGTTTTCCTGAGACATTCTGCAGCGTTTGCCTGGTACAGAAGAAATTCATTACCAACATGTCAAACATGCAGATGATTTTTCTTGTCTTGGAGCAGCAGGTAAAATAAATAGAGGTCGTCACCACTGTTAGTGCAATGCTCCTCAAAGCCTGCTGAAAAAGGTAGCGGTCTGGTCTCACCAGTATGTCCACATCAAGACAAGTCCTTAATCCCAAGTATATGCTATTATTTAAACAAACACTGTCTGCTTGGCCAGACCTCCTGATGTACCTTAAATTTCATTAAGTCTTAAATTTCCTTCCTCAGGGCCTCACCTGCAAGGACAATTGGTAGCCCAGTTCATACTTTCTCTTGCATGCACAGATGAGATATTCTTGCTACCAAACACATTATGGGGATGAGGAGGATGCATCGATGTTATGTGGAGAGGGGGGATGTGTTGTAAAATCTATTATTATTGTGTAAGACTTGATGGTCGTAAGGCAAAAGATGAACTTTCAGCCAGAGGATGAAAAACTGTGCCAGGGACAATGAATGTCTGGCCAAGAGAACCAGCACCAATGGCAAATATTAAGACAGATTCAGCATGCCTGAACACAGGCACAAAGACAGAGCACAGCGGCCTGGCTTGGCTTTGGCAAAACTTACTGAGTGCTTGGTTGATGCTGTAATACGGTGTCAAACTACTTTGTTTTTCTTTACTCAAGGAGTGGCATCCAGTGCATGCTCTATGACGAAATTAAGGTTAAGAAATATAACAATTAAATTCTAATTGTCTGGTCAATCTCCAAATACCTTCTTCAGAGACAGTATGGTTTGCATCTGTCAAGATATTTGTTTTAAAAACACTTATTTTATTAGCTGATGTTCAGCTATTACAAAAAGCAATTATTTTTGATAACGTACTTCCAATACGGTACTTGATTAGACACTCTTTTCACGACCGAGGATGTCTCTTTTAATGAAAAGATGGGCAACTGTTAAATTGACAGACCTCGACAGGTCTAATCGAATCTCAAATGTCAGCTGATGAAGTGGATGGGACATTATCTTAATCCTTGTGAACAGTGACCACTCAAATCCACACCTTCCACCTAACAGTGTGAGAGCCACTGCTTTCAAACTGTTGCCACTTCTTCCAGAGATGCAGAGGGCCAGGCAGCACCGTGGTGCTTCACTGGGTTCCTCAGAAGGAATTTGGAGATGAGAGAATCGGCCTTAGGTATTATATAGCAAATTGTGCACTAAACGACCATACTTGAAACAATTTGTTTTGTTATTCTCTCCAATTGACTTAAGTAAAGGCTTTTTTTGCCTTTGTTCCTTGCTAACTTGTAGGCTACATTGTTCTGGCACAGGACACACCAGCATTTTTGCTATTCTGCTTAAATTTCTTTGTCTTCTTCAGTACATATTGCATTGACTATATGTAAGAGGAAAACTTTTCTGTGTAAATCCAATTTACTTTCAACACAGCACAAGATTTTCTCCTTCCTTTTTCTGGCTTAAAACCTTATCATTAGTGGTTTCACAGTAACTTTCTCTGTTCCCACTCATATTACTCAAAGTGCTATAGAAGTTAGAGACAGAAGAAGCCTATCTGACTACTCATTTCCAGGCCTTCAAGTAATGCCTTGTGTCTTGTACTTCACTAAGAAACTTTGCTAACATTTAGGTGCCCCGTACCTAAAGTAGAAGCCTAAAACACAGTTCATGACTATTTCTCGGGACACAAACTGTTCTGAACTATACACTGTATTCCTGGAAATACTCGAATATTTTCAATAAGGAATAGTAGCCCTCATTTGAGATGGCTTTTTCATAGGGATGCCAATAGTATTGCTTTTCTATTGCAAACACAATTTGCTACCTGTTGTCACCAATCCATTTATTTCAACCCTAGTCTGCTTATACAGAATACTGCTGTTCTGTATAATTTCCACTTGTATACATTTCAGTGTCTTCACA